TTCAAGGTTGCTTTTGGTTACATAGAGGGTTTGAGGCCTGGATATATGAGATCCTGTTTCAAAAAAAAAAATTGATCCTGGGGTGACGGACTGGAAATGCTGACAGCTCTAGGCACTCTGCCGAGTTCTGCTTGTCTGGACACAAGGCATCATGGGCCTGATCTCTTAGCATGGCTGGGGACTGATGCTGTCCAGAGTATGATGAGGAAACCTGCGGAAGGCTGGCATAGCTGCCCTTAGCCACATGGCCACAGGCTTTTTGCATTGCCACAAACCCCCATGTAGAGCCACATTACTGCAAGGGACTAAAGTACTTCCTGATGTCGTGCCTTGACAAGCCATGTTGGGGGACTGGGAGGAATTCTGGGTGCAGAGACTGTCCATATCCCTCTGACATTGGCTCCTCTCAGCCCCTCTTTGCCTTGCCGGTGTTCTCAGGCCAACGTGTTTTTACTTTTCTTCTCCTCACTTGGTCTTTGTCAGATCAAGACTTGCCTCTGGGCACTGGGCTAGAGTTTAAGCACTGTTAAACGGAGGCAGTGCACTATCAATGATACTGGTAAGGCACTCTCTGATAACGTTTATTTTTCCTTTAAATAAGTTAAGATTTGGGGGCTGTCTTAGTTAGGGTTTCTGTTGCTGTGAAGAGACATCATGACCACAGCAACTCTTACAAAAGAGAACGTTTCATTGGGACTGGCTTACAGTTTCAAAGGTTTAGTCCATTGTTGGCATTATGGCAGGACGCATGGCAGCATACAGGCCAACATGGTGCTGGAGAAGGAGCTGAGAGTTCTACATTTTGATCCACAAACAGTAGAAAGAGACTGTGTCCCAGTAGCTTGAACATAAGAGACCTCAAAACTCAGCCCTGCAGTGACATACTTCCTCCAACAAGATCATACACACTCCAACAAGGCCTCACCTCCTAATAGTGCCACTCCCTATGGGCCAGGCATTCAAACACATGAGTGTATGGAGGCCAAACCTATTTGAACCACCACAGGGGCCAACAGGATTTGATAGCTATTAACTTTCCTGGTACTCTGTCTGCCTTGAGCAGAGGATTATCAGCCGTGTAGCTGGCTCTGATTGGCCTCATGGATTTCTTGAGGAAGCCATAGAGCAGCGAAAGCTGCCGGCTGCCCAAGCAGACCCCCAACTCCAAAGTCATCACTCCGTCTTGACTGCTTCAAACAGCTTGCACTAGACTTTTGCCATCACAAGCTTGGTGAACTCTAGCAGCCATTTCACAGAGGACAGAACACTCTACTGGTGGCTCAGCAGAAGACCTGTGACTGAGGCACACGTGATCCTTGATTTGTTTGAAGGACCACACCGTGATGGTGCAGATATCCTTGGCACAGCACCTTTCTGGCTATATGAGAAGTCAGTGCAGTTCACTTTACACTCAGCTACAGGACAGTCTGTTGTACTGAACCCTGGGGTTGCAGCATTGAAGTCAAATGCAAGGCTTCTCCTGAAGGCGCGTTTCCTACCATCTTTTGGTCATTATTAATAGTAAAGTAGACCAAGATGGTGACGTGAAGAGGTGAGGGCAGAACCTGAAGCTGTGGCAGCAGTGACAGCAGAAGCAGTACGAAGGTGGCTAAAGAGTCCCTGAGAGCGCCAGAATAGAGACTGGAAGGAGAGCCAAAGGAGAAGAGAGATAGAAGGCTTGAAGAACCAGAGACGGGAAACTGCTAGCTTCAGTTGCTTGAAGAGTCCCAAGGAGCTGCCAGGTCGTAAGGGGCCCAAGGTCCTAGACACATTAGGCCTGACAGCTATGACACCAACCACTGCAGGGGTTAAGGCTCCCGATATTGAGGGCCACTAGGGAGTGTAAAGCAAGCTGTGGGAGATGAGGGTTACAGTGGCTGCCAGTTAAAACCCAGGGCAGTGAGCCTCCAGCCTCAGGACCTGGAGATGTAAGCCTTTGGCTTCTGAAGCTGGAGCAACAGGTCCCTGGCTTGAGTGGTGAGGCTGCTCTGCCAGCCCCAGGGGAGCTTTTATCACCTGCGCACTTTCTCCAAAGCAGGATGCCAAACAGCAGGTTGGACTTGCCCACCTACTGCACTTCCCTTGGAATGACTCTTGCCTTTTGACAGTTAGTATAATACACTGGGGCTTTTGCAGCATTGGAGAACCTGCAGCTAAGCTCTTCCCTAGAGGACAGAGCACAGCAGAGGAGGCTGGTTGGAGGAGGAGCCCTCAGACACTACCTCCTGGTTTGACTCATGTCCCAAGACATCATAAAAAATAGCTCAGGAACTTGTATTTGGGTCAGCCTGACCATCTCAATTTTTGCCCTGAGAACTAACTTTTCCAAGGTTCTCTGGAACTTTCCACTGTCTGCTTACTCAGGACAGGCTCCCTTTCCATTGGGAGGGGCAGGACAGGACACAAGTCTTGGAACTGAACTTCCAGCGATGTTTTTAACCTAATAAACAGGGTTGATTTACTGCAACCATGTGACTTACTCAGTGGGACTGTGAGCCATGAATCCCTGGAAAGCAGCTTGTGGTCCCTGCTTCTCTCTCTCTCTCTCTCTCTCTCTCTCTCTCTCTCTGTGTGTGTGTGTGTGTGTGTATTGCTGTGGCTAATGTTCCTTGCCTAGCTCCTAAAGTCAGTCATCTTGATGGATACTTGGTAAACATCCTACGGCATGAGTTGTGAGAGAGACAGGAACATGAAAGGAACAGGAGTTACTTCTGCTTAGGGCTGGGGCATGGGTGTCAAGGAGAGCTGCCCCAAGGTGATAAAGGATGGGCAGAAGAGTCTAATATAAGGTAGGACCAGAGGATACAGATAGCATTGCTTCATCAGGGGCTCATGGAGACTTGTGGGCTAGCATTGGCTGAGAGTTAAGTGTGGAACTTAAAGGAGATCAGGAACCACCCCCACCTAGGATGGTGATTCCCAGACTTCCCATTACAGGGCCAAAGAAGGGACTGAGAGTCACCCACCCAGCCTTGCTTAGTGCTAGAGGAGAGGCAGATTATTATTACTTTTTTTAATGAGCACATGTGCTCAGGGAATCCATTTTTGTCCTCATCAGGACTCAGAAGTGTTTTGGCCCCACAGTTGCTCATGGACACAACTCTAGATATCAGCAGCCTAGAGAATTTCTCCTAGAGGTCAAGTGGAGGCTGAGAAGGCTCAGCCGGGAAGGATTGAGAAGCAGGATGTGGCAGGTGAGAGGGTGCAGCACCAAGCCCTGCCGGGCCTCCGTGTAGTGGTAGGGACTGGGGTGGTGTCAGTTTGGTAGGGATTCTTGGCAGTTTGAGGCTGATCTTGGCAGTGAAAAAGGCTCTCAGCTTTTATAACACTCAAATTGATCCGCAGTTAGCTGTCAGAAACTGGAGCTTTGGGTCTGATCACAGACGAGGCTCCTGGGACAGACACAGCACCCATTCCTCCAATTTTTATTGGTATTAGACACCTTCTCATGCTAGGCACTGTGCTAGGGGCTGAGGATAGAAGACCAGATAGACACAGGCCTGTTTTTATGGGACCCACATAAAAGAGTGGGGCAGTGATTGTGTGTGTGTGTGTGTGTGTCTGTCTGTCTATCTGTCTGTGTCTCTCTGTGTCTCTGAGTGTCTCTGTGTTTGTGTCTGTATGTGTCTGTCTCTGTATTTGTGTGTGTGTTTGTGAGAGTCTGTCTGTTATGTCACACTGTAAAGTATAGCGAAGGGTGTTTACTTGGGCTTGAGATGGCTCTATAGCTCAGTGATAGAATACTTGCCTGCATGTGCATGATCCTGAGTTCCCAACACTGTCTAAAAAAGAAAAAGAAATTGGGGTGAGGGAGTGGATGGGGCTACTCTGTGGAGGTGATGACTGAGCATTCATTAGAATGAAAAGGGAAGTGACCATCCAGGACAAAAGCCTTGCTGCTGTGACCCAGTAACTCAGGAAGAAGCATAGATTTCATTATTTTCTTTTTTTTTTTTTTCTGTTTTTTTCCCCCATCAGTTTGGCTATGATCCACTACAATTTATTGTGTTTCTTCTGCTTGGGATTTGTCGGTCTCCTTGGATTTTTAAAGATGACTATCTCTTACCAACTACAGAGTGTTCTTGGTCATTTGTTCTTTAATTATCCTGGCAGGGATCATCACATGTACACACTACCTCTCCATTGCCCAGTCCAGCAGGGTGCCTACCTTAGGGCACTGATATTTGTTCCATGAAGAAGTAAATGGTGGAGAAAGGCCCTTTACCCTGTGCCTTGGCCAAAGTGGATCAGCAGGCGCACTGCCCAGTCCGGTTCCTCTCCACCAATGGAATCATCCGGCCCCGTGCTGTATGACCAGGACCCAGTGAGCCTGCAGGGGAAAAGACCCTAATGCACAGCCTCTGTGCAGCCTTGGGGCCAGTTCCTCATCTCCAGACCCCTGCGGTCAGCATCTGCAGCTGTAATCAGGGTTAGGGGAGAGCCCGTCCATGGAGGATGCAGTTCAGAATTGCCTGTCCAGGGTTGTGAGGCAGGCTGCTTCCTCCCTGCCGCCATCAATCCCATTCTCTTTCCTTCTTCATATTGGATATTGGATCACTGAGTTGTGCACGGTCTCTCTCTCTCTCCCAACATCTAAAGGCCAGAGGAGAGAGTCGGGTACCCTCCTATCGCTTCCCATCTACTCCTTAATTGTGGCAGTCTGAACCTGGGGCTTAAGTTTTCTTGACTAGGCTAGAAGCCAGCAAGCTTCAGTGATCCTGTCTGCTCCGTTAGAGCTGAGGTTCCAGCCGGGTGTGGAGGCCTGGTTTGTAGATGAGAGCCGGGACCTAAGCTCTGCTCCTTGGGATTGCACAGCAACCACGCTGAACTTCCTAGCCATCTCTCCAGTCTGGGTCTTTCCAAGTCCAGTCTTTCTAAGGCTCACAGAGGACTGTCTCTGTGAGCAACCTTTAGGCCAGTGGACACACTGTTCTGGGCATGGGTCTGTAGAGGTGCCCTTCCTGTCCCTTTGACACATGTCGTTGGGTCAACCCCTTCAGCTACAGATTTGGGACACAGCTGGCCAGGAGCGGTTCCGGACCATCACCCAGAGCTACTACCGAAGTGCCAATGGGGCCATCCTTGCCTATGACATCAGCAAGAGGAGCACCTTCTTGTCAGTGCCTCACTGGATCGAGGATGTGAGGAAGTACGCAGGCTCCAACATCGTGCAGCTGCTGATTGGTAAGCCAGGGGTGGTGGCTGGAGGGGTCTGGAGCAAGCCGTATCTCTGCCTCTCCCTGTTTTCTTTTCCAGTACATACAGGCTAAGCCTGCCTAGAGAAGGGCTGAGCTAGAACAGGAGAGGAGCTGGAAGCTGAACTAGGAGCTTACAGACCCTCACACTCCTTGTCAGTTTCAAACTTAGACTCCAGGTTGAGATTGGAAGGCACAAAGGATGCTGGGGTTGGCTCTGCAGTCTGTGTGTGGCAGATCACCTAGCAGTAAGGCATGGTGTTTCTGCAGACACACAGCTTCTCATGCTCAGAGGAAGCAAGGTGGCTGGTTTGCTGCTCAGTGGTTGAGCGCTTAGCTAGTATGCAAGAAGCTGTAGGTTTCACCCCCAGCACTGCAGAGGGGAAAAAAAGCAGGAAAAAGAAAACAAGGTGAGACACCATAGAGTAAGAACTTGATTTCTTTGCATTTTAAACTTACACTTCGTGTGTATCTGAGCATGCAGGGATGCATTGCAGTGCACGTGTAGAAGTCAGAGGACAACTTGCTAGAGTCGGTTCTCCCCTTTTACCAAGTGAGTCGGGAACTGAAATCAGATCACTTGACTTGACAACAGTGCCTATACCTGCTGAGCCATTTTGCTGGCCTAGAATAAGAGTTTTAAACATTTAAAAAACACTATCAGTCTATCTGCCTGCCTGCCTACTTGCCTACCTACCTATCTATATCTTTCTATCTCTCTGTCTGTCCGATTGTCTATGTATCAGTCATCTATCTGGTGTATGTATGTAGGCATACACACACCAAGGCTCATGCGTGGAGGTCAAAGGACAACTTACAGTCTGTTTTCCAGCATGTAGGTACTGGGGATTGAATCGGTTAACAGCAAGCACCTCAACCCACTGAGCCATCTTGGCAGCTGAAAAAAAAAAGAGCTTTAAAATAAAGGCAGCCTGACTTGGTGGTTACACTTGTCTTAGCTCTCAAGAGGCTGAGAGGCAGGAGGATTGCTATAGTCAACAACTTCAAGTCTAGCCTAGGCAACCTAGTGAGAATTCTTAGTTAATTAATCTATTTATTTATTTTAGTTTTTTTTCAAGATGAGGTTTCTCTGTGTAACCTTGGATGTCCTGGAAGTTGCTCAGTTGACTGGGTTGGCCTCAAACTCAGAGGCCCATCTGCCTCTTTAATCCTCTTTGAGTGTGGGCCCACCATGGCCTGCCTACGAACTCTTGTTACAAGTGGTTCGAATGTGCTGGGTGTGGTGGTGCTCTCCTCTAATCCGAGCATTCAGGAGGCAGAAGCAAGCAGGCTTCTCTGAGTTCAGGGCCAGACGGGGTCTACAGAGGATGTTCTAGTCAGCCATAGCTATACCTGTCTCAAAAGAATAAAAGACTAAAGTAGTGATGACCCAGTGGTTTTGAGCTCATGTCCTGAGTTTCCCCAGCAGCACCTATTTTGACTCAAACCACCTATAAGGGATATGATATCTGGTCTTTGTGGCTGCCAGGCATTCATGTGGTTCACAGACGTACACTCAGGCAAAAACACCCATGTGCATAGCTTATTTCAAAAGGTTAAACTAAAGAGGACTGTTTTAAGTCAGACACCACACCTAGCAGTATCGCCCTGGAGCTTGGAAAGGCGGCATGCCTGGGGACTTTTAGTGTGGCGTTGCTGGGTAGGACTGTGCAGGTCTGCCAAGGCTCTGCTGGGTAGGCCTGTGCAGGTCTGCTGAGGCTCTGCTGGGTAGGCCTGTGCAGGTCTGGCACCTGTGGGTCCTACCATGCTTTCCTTGGCCTTTTTCCACAGGGAACAAGTCAGACCTTGCCGATCTCCGGGAGGTCCCGCTGGCGGAGGCGCAGAGCCTGGCTGAGCACTATGACATCCTCTGTGCCATTGAGACCTCTGCCAAGGACTCCAGCAATGTGGAGGAGGCCTTCACCAGAGTGGCCACTGAACTCATCATGAGGCACGGAGGCCCCATGTTCAGTGAGAAGAACACTGACCACATCCAGCTGGACAGCAAGGACATTGTGGAGAGCTGGGGCTGTGGGTGCTGACTGGGGGGGTCAGGGCAGGCAGGCTAAGACCTCCCCTCCTCCTTTGTCTCCAGCCTGTCAAGCCCCACCCTTCACAGTCAGCCCTCCAGGGCACTGGCTTCTCTAGAGGGATTCTGCACCCCTGGCCTGGATGCTGGGTAGGAAGGGAGACGTGACACAGGGTATCCTGTGCAGAATGCTATTGGCCCAGAGCAGGATGTGGACCATCCCACCAGCCAGCATCTGCTCCCTCTATGTTCTTCACATTCCAGGACTAGCCTGAGCCTTCCAGCATAGACTCTGGTGGGACATGGGCTGGCTGTGCTGCCCAGCCCCCTCGTGCTGGTTTTGACCTTCTCCTGCCTTGACTGTTGCAGACGTGCAGCAGGTTGCTGCTCTCCAGGGATGTGGCTGGTACCCCAGGTCATTCCAGGTCATTCTCCTGCCTCTTACCAAAGTGTAAAAAGCACATCAATTAGACCAACAGACTGGTGCCGAGCCTTGTCCTGGGGAAGCCTGAGCTCCTCAGGTGGACACAGAGTCCCTGTCCTCATGGCCAGCTGGGAGCTCTTAGCTCCCTGGGCCTGGCTTACCAAGACCTCTCAGATGGTTCTGCTTTTCCATGTAGCATCTCATTTTCACTGACCCAATTGTAGGGTCATGGCCAGGGGCCAACTGGGAACTGTCTCCAGGCTTAAGGCCCAAAATGTTGCCAGTCAGGTTGCAAAAGCAGCTAATCTTTAAGTGTGGTTGAGGGGTGAGGTAGGAAAGCGAAGGTTTAAGGAAGCAGGAGCAGCGTGCAAGGGGCAGCTCACGGGCAGAGCGCATGCTTAGCACATGCCAGGCCCCGAGTTCAGTCCTCAGCACCCAAACCAACAAAAGAGCAGCTTCTGGTGTATCCCTGAGGTTGAGGGCCCTGTGGACGCCAGCTATGCCCCATGTGGAGACACCATCCCTGCCACTGCCCAGAGCTTTTAGTTCCCCATGGTCCTGGTCTGGCTTACAGTTTCAAAGCAAAAAAGATGAGTGCCCACTGGCCTAAGACCTGGCCATCTTAGACCTCACTGGTTCTCTCTGCCTGCCTTAATGGGTGCTTCCTGCTGTGGTCAGAGGGAGTTGTTTCCTGCATCTCCCCTCCTGCTGGCATCCTACCCTTGCCCCCGACCTCAAGCATTCTAGTCTGTCAGCACCTTTCCTAGGGAGATCTGGCCACAGGGTGAGAAGCAGCACTTTGCAACAACTACATGGCAGCTGAGGGAGACAGCACTCGGTAAACTAGATAAACCGTGTTACACTCACTGGGACCCCTTCAGGCAGGAGGCAGCCTGTGCATTAGCTGAGCCTGGCTGTGATGGGATGGAAGGTGGCCTGGGTAAATTAGGACCTGCTGAGCGCCTCTCAGGTGGGATCCTTGTGGCCCTACTGGGTTGGAGCTGCATGGTTCCAAGGGCTGGAGACCATGAAGCCCATATAGGCTTTCTTAACCCGAAAGTCATGATCTTTTTTGAGGAGGGGCAATGACCTTTTCACAGGGGTCACCTATCAGAAAACAGCTGACTGCCTTCCTTTCCTGGGCCTGATGCAATTGAGAGGGTCCTGCTGCTGACTCCACCCATGGGTGCGTAGTACCCAACATTGAGAGTGCCCTTTGCACTGCACATGGTCTTCGGAGCCGTCTGGCATCTGTGCTTCCATGAGTAGATCCTGTGGGGTTGATGTTTCCAGGGCCAGTCAGGAAGGCAGCCCTGGCCTCTCATGGCCCTGCTCTTTTGCTGGGTGGTGGGGAAGTTGCCAGGTCTTTGGTCTGTGTCTGGTGTTCAAATGGAAGTCCCATTTTAGGATGTGTCTGTCTATCTGAGTTTAGATACTGACCTTGCCGTAGCTACCCACTACTACCGGCAAGCCTTGCTCTTTAGTGATACCAGTGCTGAGCCCAGCAGGACATTAGAGTTCTTCTGTACTTAGGGCCCAGAGGAGGGAGGTCAGAGGCCTTTTGCTCTAAACAGAGCTAAACAGAGCTCTAGCCGTTCTTTCACAAGATGGCAACTGACTGGTGATGGGGCTCACATGCCACCCTGGGCCATGAGCCCACTTTGCAGCCTCCAAGGGCTGGAGACCATGAAACCCATAAGGTGATGTTTCTTAATCTGTGAGTCAAGACCCCTTTAGGGGGCTGAAATGACCATATCACAGGGGTCGCCTATCAGAAAACACAGATACTTACATTACAGTAGGTACGAAAATAATTTTATGGTTGGGGGTCACCACACGATGAGAACTGTATTAAAGTGGCAGTGTTAGGAAGGTTGGAAGGACTGCCATAAGGCCTAACCTGGAGCAGAACAGAACCCAGCGACTCCTTGGCTCACCCAGCGACCAGAAAGATTACTTCTTTCTCTATTCACAGGAAGATAACTTGACTTTCCTTTCACAATCCCTGGGTGCCGAGTGTGGATGAGGCCCTGCCCTGTGCCCTTAAGTAGGAACAGCCCTGCCCTAAGAATTTAGCCCAAACACCAGTCCTTGAGCCCTGCACTCCCCAACCCTGTCCTGTAAACACCCTGCTGTCTCACTTTCCGGGTTCCAGTTTCACTGCCAGGTGCAGGTCTGGAAGGCCAGGCCCAGGGTCCTCAGCCAGTGGGGATGATCATGGCCTCCACAGCCTGCCCACCTCTGCTCACCGTCATGTCTGGGTCCAATGTGACCTCCCTCTCCGAGATCTCTCAGCCAGCCCGCCTTCTTACAGCACAGAATCCCACAAGTGACCCAAAGCACACATCTTTGAGGGTTGATGGCCCCTCCTCAGACACAGGCCTTACACCCAGTATCCTAGCAAGGATAAATTCTTCCCTTGACCCCAGATTCTGTGGCTTGGGAGGGCCCTGAGTCCTGAAGCTGGTTTCTATGGACAAGCTGCAGCCATGCCTTCTAACAGCAGTGCCAAGGCTCTTGCCCTCTGCTGAGACAGCTGCCTCACCAAAGTACTTAGAGAGACCTTTGGGCCTCCGTCAGAAGGTGCCCAGGGCTTGAGGACCAGAAAATAAGCAAGTGTGAGAGTCGAGAAACAAAACCAGCTGCTTCCCTTCCCCTGGGCAGGCATGGCTTGCTGCCAGCAGTAGCACAGGGCCTCTGGGGCAACAGAAGTTTAATCTCTTCCCTTGTTTGAAGTTACTGAACAGCAGGAACAGGTGGAGGTGGATGATGCTAGGGAGGAGGTACCCACAGAAGGGCTGGTAGGGCCAGGGTGGCTGCAGCAGGAGTGGGGCTTGTCCACTAAAGGTACTAGAGGAGGGGCTTCATGTCTCTGGGTGGCAGTCTGTCTCCAAGGACACAGGCCCCAACTGGAGGGGATCTACCGAAAGCCTCTGGTTCACACTGAATGGGTTGCCCTGTACCACGATACTGCCAGCAATGGGCCTCTAGCCAAACTCACCCCTGCAGGGCCTGGGCAGGGGCAGAATTGCCAGCCCAAGGAGGCCATGCACACTGGGGGAATTTTCACATTACCTATTTATGAATATATAAGTCTTTCTATCAAATCTATTTTTGAAACATGAAAAGTTGCCTTTCTGGATATGTCAGAGCCAGTGTACAATTCAACCATTAAACATTTCTGTACTGACTTCGTGCTCAAGCTTGGTCCTGTCACCTCTAGGCATAGAACCTGTCTAGTGGCCTTACCTGCCATGCCTTGTGGAGTTTTCTAGACTGGTTTTCAGGTTGGATGGTGGGTAGGTGGGTGTGCCTCACTGTCCAGCCTGGACAGACCTTTCCTCTGGTTCTAAGCTCTCTAAAGTAGAAGCAATCAGAGATTGGGCCACATGTCTGCCAAGGGCAATAGTGACTTTGGAACTCTGTCCTAGATCTCACAGATGGGGTCATGTCAGGGAGTGTTCCTGGATGGTGATGGCCAGTCCAAGAGGGAGGAATCACACCCTGCTTCTCACCAAACACAGAAGGCCGTGGGGTTAACATTCTTGCTGGAGGAAGACGAAGAAGCAGCGCTGTGGTTCTCAGTGGGCTCAGATTGCTTGCTGCTATGTTTCATTATGTGGCAGATGCCCAGGTGTTGAATATCAGAATCAGCTGCCTGACCTACACTTGGTGAGCTACCAGCTTGGTGAGCTAGCAGCTCACCAAGATGACCTAAGGTCATTTCTAGTCACCATGGGGGGATTCTTTTTGTTTGTTTTTGTTTTTTTGTTTTTCGAGACAGGGTTTCTCTGTATAGCCCTGGCTGTCCTGGAACTCACTCTGTAGACCAGGCTGGCCTCGAACTCAGAAATCCGCCTGCCTCTGCCTCCCAAGTGCTGGGATTAAAGGCGTGCGCCACCATCGCCCGGCTGGGGGGATTCTTTTTGATGGAACTTTTGCATGTCTGGCTGTTAGACTGTCTTCCAAGGACCAAGATGCTGAGAGGACCTGGTTGTCCTTCCAAACCCAGCTGTGGGACAGTCTATCTGATAGTGTGCCTTAGGGCAAGTTATTACTTTTCTCAAGGCTCCAGTTTCCACAAATGTAGGATCTGATTGGTCCAATAGTATCCCCAGAAGCCCTAACGAAACCTCACCAGGTAGAACATAGGACCCTGGAGGCCAAGTGTCCCTGGCTTTCAGAAGGGACACATCTCAGGGAGAAGTAATACCTGCTTAGGGCAAGAAGTGACATAGCCCACTGTGCCCACTAGATGCCAGATCCAGAGTTAGGGCTGACTGAGAAGTATCGGCCACTTCAATACCCCCTCATGGGTTCAGATCTGTTCTGTTCCCAGGATTCTCTGATGCCTCTGGCCACTCCACAGGCAAGCTAAGACTATGGGGCAAATTTGAAGTATAGTGGGTGCAGTCCTGGACTTTGGAGCCAGGAAAACAGGTCAGAGCCCATGAGGACTTTTTCTAAGCTCTGAATCCTCTCCTGACTATGACTTGAGCTAGGTCTGGTCTGAGTTCTAGGCCCAGAGTCTGTACCTGCCCACCTCTGAGGGCCCCCAAAGCTCTGCTCGGAACCTGTCCTTTGCACACAGTGGCCTTGGCACAGTGGGTCCTGCCAGCTTTCTCTTAGCATCTGTGAGCACGTCAGACATTTACTAGATCTCGCTGTCAGGTGCTTTAGAGAAGGGGTCGACACAGCTGCAGGCTCTGCTACCAGCTCTGTTACCGCTGACATGGCTGCTATCTGCAGCCACTTGGCTATACCAGCTGCTGAACAGCTCCCATTCTTGATGTACAGTGGGCTTCTCCAAGCCAGGAGCTCCCGTTCCAACCCTGAGCTGGATCCCTTGTTCAAGGTATAACCACTTGCCCTGACACTGACCTTTCAGATGTTCCCACTAGCGTCAGGGTAGGAGGCCAGGGTCCCATGTTGCCCAGGGTTGTGGTCTCAGGAGGTTCCCGATAGATAGCAAAGACTCAGCTTAAAGTAGTGCTTTGGACTCAGTCACTGGGTGTCCACACAGGCCCCTGATAGTTGTCCTCGGCTGTGACATGGGGCCTGGCAGGGTGTTCTGCCCTGCTTCCATTCTAGATGGATCTGTCTGGTTCCTGCCACACCCTGTCTGGTGCCTGGAGAGCTCTCTTTACACGTGGTGTCCTCCTGTGACTGGTCTCACACAGAGGGTTTCCATAGTAGATGAAAGACTCTCCCTCCCTCCCTCCCTCTCTTTCTCTCTCAGATAGGATCTCACCATGTAGCCCTGGCTGTCCAGGAACTCACTATTGTAGGCCAGGCTGGCCTAGAACGGACAGAGATCTACCTGTCTCTGCCTCCCAGATGCTGGGATTAAAAGCACGTGCCACTATGGCCGGGAGAAGTTTGTTTCTTATGATCATTAGTATGTTTGCTGAATTCCAGGAAGTGCAGGGTCCTGTTCCTCAGGGAGCCATGAGAGAACTGGTTGGTGGAGGGGCCGTAGCTTTGAGATGGGAGAGGGGCTATGTTCTTCAGCCTCGCCCTGTGGCCTCAGGCCTAAGATTGCCTCGTGGTGGCCATCAGCCAGAGACTTGCTCAAAATGTGGACTCTCGGGCTCCACCTCAAGGTCTTTTCTAATTTTTCTTCATTTGTTTTCTTCATTTTTATTATTTTTAAAAGGTTTACTTTATTTTATGCTGTAAGCATCCATGTTGTACAGGGAATTGAATCCAGGTCCTCTGTGAGAGCAACAAGTACTCAAAAGTGCTGAAGCATCTCTCAACCCCTGTTTTATTTTTTTATTTGAGTATTTTGTCTGTACGTCTGTCCATGCACCTTGTACATGGAGTGTCCCTGGAGGCCAAAGACGGTGTAGGATCTCCTGGGACTGGTGTTACAGGCAGTTGTGAGCCACCATGTGGCTGCTGGCACTTGGGTCCTCTGGAAGAGCAGCCAAGTGCACTTGTTCATTTGTTCTCTCTCTCCCCCCCTTTCTCTCTCCCTCTCTCTCTTTCTCTGTCTCTTTCTCTCTGTCTCTCTGTCTCTGTGTGTCTCTGTCTCTCTCTTTGTAATTGAATATATTTTTTCATACAATATATTCTGGTTACAATTCCCCTCCCCCACCTCCTCCAGACCCTCCTCACTTCCCCACTCACCCAAATCCAAACTGTCTCTCTCTCATTAGAATACAAATAGGAATTTAAATAACAACAGTAACAACAATAATAAATAAAAAACAGAATAGGACAAGACAAACAGAAAAAAAGAGCCAAAGAAAAATCACAAGAAACATACAGATGCTGAGAGACACACAGGAAACCCAGAAAAACAAAACAGGAAACAATAATATATAAGAAAAAATCTATAAGGTTAAAAAAATGTCCAGATAAAGCATTAGGAAAAAAAAAACTCTCCAAAAATATTTTTGAGTTCATGTTGTGTTGCCCATCTACTGCTGGGCCTGGGGTGTTCCCTTAAGTGTGCTTTGTATACCCAGTGAGACTCTGTTGGAAAACACTAATTTTTCCCTTCTGAATAGTTATCAGTTAGAGCCGGCTTCTGAGTTGGGGCTGGGAGCTCGTGTCCACTTGCCAACTTAGAACTGAGACCCATCTGGCTTAGACCTGCGCAGACCCTGTGCATGTGCCACAACCTCTGTGGATTCATATGTGCATCAGTTCTGTTGTGTCTAGAACATCTTCTTTCTCAGGTGTCTTCCATCCCCTTTGTCTCTTATGATCTTTTTGCCTTCTCTTCTGCAGAATTCTTATTGCTAATTTTTATTTTTTTGAAAATAATAGTTTTTGATTTTTCCTTCAGTCCATGGCTTATTTAATCTCGGGTTCTTGACTACTGGGGCCGTATCGTGTATGGGTTCCAGCTCTCGTGGGATTGGCCTTAATTCCAGTCAGATATTGATTGGTTACTCCCACAAGCTCGCACTAGTGTAACTGTCAAGGAGGACAGCATTGTAAATGGAAGGGTCTGAGGCTGGGTTGAGTTTGTTTCTCCTTTGATAGTGAGCAGAGTCCCATCAGTACCCTAAACACTAGTCGGTAGGGGTGCAGGCTCCATGAAGGTGCCAGCGGGGTTCCCTGTGTTCAGTGAGTTATGTAGACAATGGCTTCACCAACAGGGCCATGCCATCGGTTTGTGGGGAGTGACCAATAGCCTTGGCAATAACTTGGGTTGTTTGGGGGTTTCCTTGATGCCCCTCTTGTCAACAGCTCAATTAGATGTAACCCATTCCAATCACTGGAGGTTTCCTTTGATGGCCAGAGGTGTCTACTGGGGCTTTGTTTACCCCCTCCCCCCCGTTATTTGGTGATTCCAATTTACTTTCCTTACACAGACACACACACACACACACACACACACACACACACACACACACAAGGTTTCCATAATACTCCTCAAATGGCCATTAGCGTTAGCTGTCCCTCCCTATCTTCCCTCCCTCACTGTCTTTACCCCCCTCCACTTGTTCCTACTGCTCTAGCCCCACCCCCTCCCATCCGTCTGTGACTATTTATTCTATTTACCCTTTCTAGGGAGAGTCTTTCCTCCCTCCTAGTCCCACCAGTACTCTTAACCACTAAGTCAGCAGTCTATCTCCTCAGATTTTTTATTTGTTTTGAGGCATAACTTTGGCTGTCTTGGAAGTCACTATGTAGACTAGTCTGGCCTTAAATTTACAGAGATCCTGCCGGGCGGTGGTGGCGCACGCCTTTAATCCCAGCACTTGGGAGGCAGAGGCAGGTGGATTTCTGAGTTCGAGGCCAGCCTGGTCTACAGAGTGAGTTCCAGGACAGCCAGAGCTACACAGAGAAACCCTGTCTCGAAAAACCAAACCAAACAAAACAAAACAAAAAAATTTACAGAAATCCACCTGCCTCTGCCTCCTGAGTGCTGGAATCAAAGGCATGTATGTGCCACACCTTAGATTTTTAAAAGATTATTTTTATTTTTCCTTTGTTACATTCATATGTATGTTATATTTTGATCATATCCTCCCCAAACTCTCCTTCTCTATAGAACCACCAATACACACCCCTCCCATCTTTGTATTGTGTGTGTTTAATAACCCTCTGAGCTCACACAGTGCTGTCTGCAAGAGCAACAGCAGCCAGCAACCTCACTGAAGAAAATGATTCCTGCTCTGTCATCAGTTGCCAGGATCTCCTAAGCTTACAAGCTTGTCACTCATCTGTGATA